CAACCAGTGACCAATCAATTGCCGGAATGCCATGCCGACAAAAATGCTCCTTTAGGGCTTCAATGGTTTCCTGGTTTGCGAGGTCTTTTAGTTTGGTTAGCTCAATGTATTGCTTGGAGTGATAATCAACTAGTACCAGGTGATGTTCACCTTCAAAGGTGAGTATGTCTGATGCAGCCATTGCATTGCATGCGGAGACTAGACTGCGGTGACTAGGCTATAGAAGAGACTAGACATCGCTGCATTGAAATTACTTTAAGGTGAGAAGACTGGGTTTTTAACTTTTCCCTCGATTAGCATGACACAAAGGGAAAGTGCGAGCAGTTACTTCTTCAGTTTTTGCCAGTAAATATAGTTATTGTGTTGCTGCTATTTGGCTAGTGCTGCTTCATAGAACTGTTTTCTATCGATTCGAGGTAATTTACTTTTAAATTTCACCGCGCGGTTTTAAGCTTCCTTATAAGCTTCGTGGTCTGTTCAGGTTTCTGTATGCCGCCTTCTGAAGAAAAGCAAAACATCTATTACCCCTATTACCCTAAACCCTAAAACCCTAACCCTAACTCTAACCCTAAAACCCTAAACCCTAACCCCTGTCTGATAATGCCAAATGACGTCAATTCAAGTCATTTCGTTCAAGGAGCAGTTGCTGCTAAAATTACTCCCTTCAGAAAATATTAGTGCAATATTTTTGTCTTTTGTGACATGAATAACGTTTGCTTGGCTTGAAATTGGAATTGTAAAGTTAGCGTTTGATCTAAAATCGCTGTTAGTTTTGAACTTAAGAGTTTGCTTTTAGTATTTAATTTGTGACGTCAATGTACAAAATCACTGTCCATCCTAGCCCTAAGAAACCAAACTAACCATTTGTCGAGTCTTGAATAAATCTTTCGGGGTGAAAAGGACAATCTCTATCGCAGCATGGATATTGTCGATCTCGGCCGAGGAAGAAAACGAATTCTTGTAAACAATCTTAGCCTTGTCACGGTTGTCCTAATGCATTAATCTATGATTAGATTGATGAGTTCGTGACGGACTACACGTCACTCAACTTGTGGCCAGTCTATCTTAGCGCTGAAGAACCAGCTAATTGCTCGCCCAATCTTATTAACTTGTGGAACTATTGCAGAGTAAAAAGGATATGTTGACGACAATACAAAAGGATTGCAGATCTTGGTCAAACGAGGAGTCAAGTTCTAACTGCGTCGACCATGCAGTTCACGTGAATAATTTTGGTCACCGTTATAAAGATACCTTGTGGTTCTAATGCGTTAATTAATGATATATTTATGAATTCGTAACTTAAACATTAATAACTTGTGGCAAGTTTTGCTTAGCCCTTAAGAACCAGATGACACTTCGTCGAGTTGAAGGACTTCTTTATCTGTCGGAGCTGTCCCAAAGAACTGTTACTATACTCGACGATTTTGATCAAGTTGTATTTTTGTTCCGAACAAGCCTAAGGATCAATTACAACGAGCAAAGCGTTTACACTTAAGAAGGTAAGCGATTTCTTTATAAAGATGGGAGCATCGAAAAAAAATGGCAATATTTTGAAAACATAAGATGTTTAGATTCCAATCTGGAGGTTCTTATAACGGAAAAGACGTACCCGTGGTACCTGTTTGCCAAATGAGCGTCCAACTTGTTTTTTTGCTTCTATAAGATTGCCAGAAGAACATGAAAGACGCAAAAAGGCACCAAACATTCCTATGGCGAACCCTCATTTTCCATAATTGTAATAAATTATAATTGACGGCAGCGCTAAATAAAAGCGTTGTTTGAGGTTTGAAGTTTGAATTTACGTGTCATTGAAAATCACACTAAAAGATTTTGAAAGCAGACAAAAGAGATCTGGAAATCGAAATAAACCGGAGTGTATCCAGGTGACATCAGAATCTAGAGTGGAATCCGGAACCTCCATGGAATAAATATCTTACATTCGATGGTATCAAGGAAGAAAAAAAAACAAGGGACGCCACCTAGGAAACAAAAGGAAGATCAGGAAGACTTTAAAATGAAGATGTTGAAAAAAATTAAGCCAGATTTATGATAATCCATCCACGACAGTTCCTCTTAACGCATTCTGCTTTATTTGCAGACTGAAAAAGTGAGGACATAACACCAGCTACGTAGAGCAGAACAGAACTGATGGAGTTAACCCTAAAGGTAATAGGTTCAATCCCCAGCATAAGGAGTTAGTGACTGAACCATAATAGAAGCAAGCTTATTAATAGGTATACTATTTGTTGCCAACAGTTTGACATAGGTATTGGCCCTTGAAAGAGAAGATTAAGACTGTAAAACGTTGACTAAAATCATTAAAATAGACTAGTTGAGCATTTTAAAATGTTCTTTACTCTAACAAAAGCCTTTAGGTCCATATTTCCTGTAAGACTAATTGAGCTTGATAGATACATAACCTTGTTGCCATGTTTCTTTTATTGGCTCAGAGGAACGCTGTCATAACAAAACAATCATTTATAGCAGTTTTTCAGATTATACGATCCCACTTTTTGGTAGCTTAATTGTAAGGATATTTTTGGTCATACAGAGATTCCAAGCAATGACAGGAATTACACTCTGTTTTATAATGGCGCTCTTTGTTATTGATTATGTGGCGCGGGTTCGAATCCTGGACGCGGCATCATAAGTGGGTTGAGTTTGTTGTTGATTGTCGCCTTGCTCCGAGGGTTTTTTCTCCGGGTTCTCCGGTTTTCCTCCATCCACAGAAACTAACTCTTCTAAATTCCAATTCGATCTGGAAACAGCGACGCAGAGCCTCTCCGTGGGATGTGCAAATTCCTATTATTTTATTTATTTATTATCATTTGATCTTTTCTGGGTGTTTTAGGTTCCAAAACTAAGCATGCGACTGTTTAAGAGTTTGATCGATTTGTTTTGGATTTGTTTTTGTGTTCGCTGCAGGTTTCAGGAGGGGAACATTTTTGATGGTGAAAGGTACTGCATTACCAAAAAAATGTTAGGCAAATACCGCAATGCCTCTTAGAGACTGCGTAGCTGGGAGTTTCATTATCAGGGGGGCAAGACAACGAGCCAAAAACGAGTGGCGCTGGTTAGCTTGTCTCCAAAAAGGACCAGAAACCCGAAAATGGTCGAAAAACATGGAGGAGGTTTTACACGAACCTCTCAGCTAAAGAAAAGCATGCTGAATATTCAAGATTTATTCAAATTACTAAAATACCGTTTGAGAAATTGTCCAATACCGAAATTCAGCAAACAAATTCCTTTCGCACGTCCATGCTACTTGTAATACATGCATTCTTGTATCGTCCCTGCGATTCTAACAACGTACTTTCTTTCCTTTTTATTTTGTCTGATAACGTCTGTCTTATTCCCCGTTGTTTTTCAGATGCTGCTACTAAATCTGTTCATGGTTCTTTTTGCCGCTCTCTCATCTTCGTTAGGACGAAAAGCGAAACATTTGCCACTCCGATCAAGAAAAACATGGTCTAGACCCTCGCACTCAATAATTAATGAGAAAGAATGCGGTCGTGTTGTGTACAACCTTCCTCGCTTTCCTTCTAATAACATCTTTCCTGGAGTTCGTTCATTATGTGTGCGTCTGAAAGAAGCCGAGTTATTAAGCAAGCTCAAAAACATTGGCGGTTTCAATCCGCGTTATATGGCAACAAAGAGGAAAGACGCGTTCAAATTTTCCGACCTTTCTGGAGACGAGCAATCTTTATCTCGCAAATCCTCCATCTTCCCGCCAGCCAAACATGATCAGCCTCCTAAGAGCCAGACGAATGTCGAGTTGAGTGCAAATAGCTCATACCACTTGATGGATCAGATCAAACACGTTAAAACCAGTAGCCAATGGAGCGAAAAGAGGATGGTGTCTTTAAGCCCAGGTTCAGTTGAACGTGGATGCTGGAGACGAGGTTCTGTGGTGGAGGACACCTCTCTGGTGCGCTTGTGCACTGAATGCGCTACGACTACTAAGCTTCCAACATCAGTTTTCCCGCCATTTATCAACGAGGTTATATGCGGTGACGTTGACCATCACTGCTATGGTCCCATAGGGCAATGCGCACAACGTGTTTTAAGGTTCACGTTTCTTCGTCGCACTGGAGAGTTTGTACGAGATGATGCACTTAGCCAACTTCTTGGAATTGATGTCAACGTCGAGGAATGGGAAGATTTTGAGCAAGATATCAGGTCGTGTTGTGAATGTCGGCTTTTTTCATTTCTTGCCCGCCAGGAATCGTAACAAGAGGTGCCGGGACTATTGCATCGAGCGAGAAAACCTTATTTAAACCAAATACCTTACTTCTGTTGCTTTTTTCACGAGATTATCGGGACAGAAAATCTTCATTAAGCTTTGAACACTGCGCTCACCGTTTCCAAAACCTATAACTCGAAGAAAGATTACAATTGAAATAGTTTCAATAATTGCAGAAGTGTAATATTTTTTTCGCAAATGTGTATTAAGTGTCAAGAGTAAATAAAGCATTGTTTCTGTAGTTCGGCATTTTACGATGAAACGAGAGATAGTCTTCTTAGCTTCTTCCTCATGTGAACGCAATAATGACCATATTTCTAACAGCTTAATGCCGTTACAACAGCTCTTGAGCCATAGTATCTCTTACTGTTAATTAATTAAACTGTTTTTTCACATTCTGATGTTCATGTTGAAAAAACGTAACTGAAAAATAAAATAAATAATAATAACTTTATTTAAGTGTCAGGGTAGGTATTTAGCTTACAGAAGCTAATTGGGGACACTACTACGTTACAATGTATTGAGATTTAAAATGT